TGTCTACTTGTGATCTCTGTCAAATAAATAAAAAAAATAAATAAATAAAATAAATAAAAAACAGGGGTGCCGATGGCCTCTTGCACATGGGAGTTGGGGAGCTGAAGGGTCCTTCTTATGCCCAGGTCACACAGCTCACCCAGGCGCCCTGAGGGAGGTGCCTCTCTGCTGAGGGCCCTGGTCACGGAGCTCTCCTGCCCGCAGCTGCTCCGAGCTGCCAAAGTGGGCGGAGTCCTTCCTCCACCCTCCGGGGGCTCTGCGTCTGTAACAAGGGGCTCGCCCCAACTTATCAGCGGGCAGGTGCGGGGAAGCTGGCCTCTGGCCGGCAGGGTCGGCCCCACCCCCACCCCCGCACCCCCGACCTCACCCGCGGACCCACCCCCACCCTTCTGCAGCCTTAGGCCAGGGCTCCAGACTGAGAGCCTCGGGGAAACGTTAAGAACTGCCTGAACCAGCAATGTTTCGCTTTTTCTAACAATTAGACCTTTTCTGAGTTTTCTGGTGCAGTTTGAGGGGCGGGCATCCAGACCAGCACAGAGAAGTGCTGCCCCCGGCCCCGGCCCACAGCCCCGAGCCAGCCCCTGCCTGGGGGTGCTCCCGCGGGAGACACACCCACGTGCACAGACGCAGGCCTGTGGGCGTACAGGGCACCTGCATGCAGTGAGCGCGCACACCTGCGCACGGGAGCACGCGCGAGCTCGCTCACCGCGCACACGTGCACCACATGTGCACACTCACTGCACACGTGTTCACTCGCTCACCGCGCACACGTGCACACTCACTGCACACGTGTTCACACTCGCTCACCGCGCACACGTGCACCCACACGTGCACACTCACCGCACACGTGTTCACACTCGCTCACCGCGCACACGTGCACACTCACTGCACACGTGTTCACACTCGCTCACCGCGCACACGTGCACCACGTGTGCACTCACTGCACACGTGTTCACACTCGCTCACCGCGCACACGTGCACCCACACGTGCACGCTCAACTCACACGTGCTCACACTCGTGCCCACATGTGCACCACCACGTTTGCACTCACACGTGCGCACGTGGGTTCACTGACCGCACACGTGCGCACGCACCCCGCACGCATAAGCGCCCGAGCCTCGGGGCAGAAGCCTGGGGGACAGGGAGGCAGGGAGCACCGGGCTTGAATCTTCAAGCCCCGAGAAAAGGGCAGGTAGGAGACTAGGAGGCCCGTGGTGCGCAGACCGCCGGCTCGGAGGCTGGAACCCGCGGTCCCCGGCCGGCGCACAGCGGCCATGGAGCATGCGCTAAGCCTTGCAAAGAGGGCTCCGAGCATGCGCAGGCCGCACGCCCGCTCCCTTCCCCCCCCCCCCCGCCCTGCCTCCAGAACCCACAGTTCCAAGCGCAGGGCTGCGTCCGGAAGTCCGTGGAGCTGATCTCCGTTCCTCGTCCTCTGATTCGCTCCACACCATGGCCATTTCCGCAGGAAGTTCCGCGTCTCTGCCCGACCGTCCGCGAGGCGTGTCGCTGCCGGAAGCGCGCGCGGGCCCAGTTTTGTTTCCGGGGGAATCTCGTTTTCCGGAGGACGCTGGGGACGTCCGCGTGTCCCTCCCAGCCTCTGATTGGCTGATTTTATGAATACATTAGGGCCGGGAATGGCGAGTTTTTCCACGCGCGGTAGCGACCGTGGGGATGTGGGCGATAGTGTGCGAACCTTGGCGGCTCCGCGCCGCGGGCAGGTGCCTGGAGGGGTGCATCCTGCCGGCAGGCCCAGCCCCGCGCCCACCGCCGTCGCCGCAAGCGAAAGGCGGCGCGGGGCGCGCAGTATAAATGGCGGGCGCGCCGCGGCGGGCAGCGTGTTGTATGAAAGGAGAGAAGGTTAGCACTCCCCTTGACAAGGATGGAAGAGGCCCTCGGGCCTGACAACACGCATACGGTTAAGGCATTGCCACCTACTTCGTGGCATCTAACCAACGTTTTCGGGGCCCCCTGCGCGGGGGCGGGGCCGGCAGCGAGGACGGGGTGTCGCGGGGAGGGGGCGGGGTCGGCCCGCGGGAGCGGCCGGGGTGGCCGCGACCCCCTGGGGCCCACGCTGGTCGCGCCGCGGGCGGGGAGCACGAGGGCGTCCGCGGCGACGGCCCCCGCGCTGGCCGGTCAGCCGAGCACGGGCGGCCGCTGTCCTGGGGCAGGAGCTACGAGCTTCGCGGCGCATCTGGGAGTCGCCGGAGCGCGAAGCGCGGGTCCTCCCCTGGCCGGGCTGCCCGCTCTGCCCCGCCTGCGCCCCTTCCCCGGGGCCGGGCCCGTCCCCGGCGGCCCTGCCCGCCGCCCGAGCCCCGGCGAGGCCCTCGCGCACGTGCCGGCTCAGGGCGTCACAGCCGCGGGGCCGCCGCGGGCCGCAGGCTCGCGGCGGGAGGGAGGGACGCAGTGACCTTCCCGGGGCAGCCGCACGGGGCCTTGCCCCGGGGCGCGTCCGCCGCAGTAGCGCCCACCCGGTCCGCGGCCGCGGCTGGACAGGCGGGAGGCACCACCCGCCCCACGTTCGCTGGGAAAAGCCGGGACCGGCCTGCAGCCCCCAGTTCCCGCCGACGGGGACCCGGCGTCGCCCTGGTCCGCAGCCCCGCCTGGGAGCCGGCGGGACACGAGGTTTCCGGCCGCGCCTCGGGGAGGAACCGGCCAGCGCGCCCGCGGGTTCTGGAGCTCAGCCGGGCGCTGCAGCGGGGCCTGGCGGGGGCCCCTGTGGAGCCCGGCCCGGGACGGACGCACACGCGCCTGCCCGGGGTCGCGGGTGCACGTGCACGTGTGAACATGCACGTGCGCGCGTCCGCGGACACGGAGACCCCAGGAGAGCCGGGGCGTCGGGGCGTCGGATACGGACTGAAGGACGGAGGCGCGACGGCAGCTCGGGGGAAACTTGGACGGTGAAGTGTCGGGAACCGCCACCGACGCCGCAGGACACGCGGACCTGGTGAGGGGCCGCGGCCGGGGGCGCAGCAGAGCCAGCGACTTGCGCCGGGGACAGCAGAGCCGGAGCACGAGCAGAGCCCGCGCCAAGCAGGACGCGCTGTGGACTGGACCCCGGAACCCCGCACGGTGAGCTGAGCCCGCGGGCGCCCCAGCGCGACTCGACCTCCGCGTTGGGAGTAGCTTCAGCTTTAAGGGGCGCGGGTGGCTCCTTGGTCGGCTTCGGCTCAGGCCATGATCTCGGGTGGGGACGGAGCCCCACAGCGGGCTCTGTGCCCCGGGGCGCGGGCGAGGGAGGCTCTCTGCCTGCGGACACGCTCGCTCTTTCTCTAAGCAAATCTTTTTAAAAACAGGTTTTTTTAAGTGACCGACAGCCGGCAAGACGGTTACCCGAGCTCACAACGGTGCTCACGGGAGCTCCTCCCTTTGATGATCACAGCGCAGACAACCGCCCAAAACGCCCGCGGCGGCGCGAGCCCGGGCTGTGCGATCCTCCCTGCGTGTGTCACACCGTCAACAACCGGCACAAGCAGTGACTGTCACAGTAAGAAACGGTGTTTTCGTAACCCCGAGCTTCCCCAGGCGGTGACCTGCCCTCCCCCGACCTCGGAAACAGCTGCACATTCAACATTCAGAAAAGTGACAAAGTCTTATTGCACAAAATTACAAGACATGAAAATTTTATTTTTAAAAGAGAGAATGTATTTGTACACAAATCTACAACAGAGAATTCAAACGTAGAAAAAATAAACTATATCCAACGGCACAGCGCTCGGCGTCCACACGCTCCGCTCCTAGGGGTGGGCCTAACCCCTTCGGGCTTCCTACGAAACACGTGACCAAGCAGCCCCCCGGCCCGCGCTGACCGTCTGTCACTGCCGCGCGGCAGCCCACCTGCGGTCCGCCTCGGGAGAGGCCGCGAAACAGAAGGAAGCTGGGTCCCGCACGCCTTCTACTGGAATGCTCAGCACCGCCCCGGGACAGCGGCTCCTGGAGCGGTCGGGAAGCCCACCAAGGGCAGCCCCCAGACCCCTTCCCAGGACGCAGGGCTCAGGAAAGGCAGGGCGGGCGCAGCTCCATCTACAGACCCCACACAGGCAGGGCCCGAGCCTCAGCCACCAGGTGCCGGCAGAAGAGGGGGCTGGGACACAGTCTGGGCCCCAGGCCTGGCGATCCCAGCACCACTCCCGCTCTCCCTTCACCGTCGCCGTTGCCGGCAGCCACACCACTGCAGGTTCCCACGACACATGCCGGACCGGGCAGCACCCAAGTGCTGGCCCCAAGGCCCCTAGCAAGCCTGCAGGTCCCCAGACGGGCACTGGGGCCGAACCCGGGCCTCCCGCAGCCCACACCGGGCCGCAGCAGCGCTGGGCAGGACAGGGCCGGGGGACTAGCTCCTCTCCAGCTGCATGTCCCCAGGGTGTCCCCAGGCCCCTGACGCACGACTGACCTATAGGGAGAGCCGAGTCCTTCCCGCAGGCATCCTCAACTTCCTGCCGCCTCGGAGACTTTTTCAAACGTGGCGACACGCCCCCTTGTTACCAAGGCTGCCAGCCAGGGGACACAGGGAGCTACGAGCGCGACGCCAGGCTGTCGGCACAGGGACCACGAACTCCCACACACAAAGGGCAAAGGGTTTTTACACGGAAATAACCTTACAGTGTTCTGCGTTTTCCAGAAAGACTGAAACACACTGGGCACGACTACAGCAGGAACCGGTGACCGCGGACCGCGTCGTGGGGCGTCTACGAACAGACAAGGGGGCCGGCCATGGGGCTCACAGCGCTTGCACTGGGGGGTTAGATACCGAAGAAGGTACATAACGCTTACTGGAAAAAAACACAACTCATGATAAAGTGAACTTCACTCTTCTGTAATAAAAAATTAAAAATTCTTGTTGACTCTTGTTTGAACACAATACGGACTAGAAACTTCCCCAGACGGTGAGAGAGGGAGCGGCAGGAAATGCCACCAGCAACTTTGAAAACTTTCTGGTGGGAGACCCCCCTCCCCCCCCACACCGTCCTCAGAGGTGTCCGAATCCGGGCCCCTCCTGACCCCCAGGCCCAGACGCAAGGGCCCCTTCCAGACGCCGCGCTGGGCCACCGGCCACCGTCCTGACCGCCCACAGCGCCGGGCGTCTAGCAGTCGCTCTTCCACAGCTTGATGGTCTTGTCATTCTCCAGCGCCGCTGAGGCGATGATGTTCTCCGTCGGGTGGCACGCCGTCGAGATCACCACGTCTGCAACCGAGACCGCAGCCACGTCGGCCCCCGCTGCAGACCCGCTCTGCCGCCCCAGGGTCGCGCTCCCACCGCCCCCAGGGCCCCCACCATGACCGCCAACGCTCGGGGCCGGCACCGTGCGCCCGCACCGCGGAGCCGGAGCAGGAGCACAGTGGCAGCCCCGGCGCTGGGGAGGTGGCAGGCGGCACGACGCGGCAGCCTCCGCAAGCACCAGGGGTGGCAGCGGCACCAGCAGGGCCGGCTTCGGGAGCCCGGCCCAGCACCCAGCGCAGCGGGCCCCCGCGGTTAGAGAGCAGCACGGGTCTTGCTGTGTAGACAACGTGCCCGCGCTCACGGGGACCAGAGCCCACACTCCCGCCACCGCCCACTGCTGCTGGGCCCAGGCACACTCCCCAGGGCAGGCTCTGCCCCCACCTCCAAAATTTTCCCACTTCCTGAGCAGCTACAAAGAGGTGGGTGGGCTGGCAGCAACCGAGGCCTGGGGCTGCTCCCAAGGAGCTATTACGTGGGCAGACCACGCAACATGGCAGTTGACTTGCAGGTCAAGGCTGTGTCCCCAGGGGGTGGAGGTGGCCGTAAGGGATGGGAGCAGCGCACTCAAAGGACCTGACGATCGGCCTCCCCAAGAGTAGGCGGGGTAGGGGCAGCCTCTGGGGGCAGAGGTGCCAGCACGGGCGGCCCTCAGTGCGGAGGCACAGGCCCCCCGAGAGGTGGGTCAGAACCCTGAGAGCAACAGAGCCTCTAGTCCATGGCGGACGTCCTTGGACCCACGCCGGTCTCGACGCAGGACACACATGGGCCACGTCCGCACACAGAGCCTACATGGACTTTGAGGCCGGGGAGATGGCCACAAAGAGACGTTGAAGCCGGACCCGGCCCTGGCCAGACGGGAGCTCGGACAAAGCCACCTGCCAGCCGCTCCGAAACGGGGGCATCCCCTGGGCCACCAGGAGGCCGAGGAAGACGAGAAGCGGACGGCATGACGACGCGCCCTGGCTGTGTGAACGTGGGTCCCCGCGCTCACCCGTGTGGCCCTGTAGCTTCTGTGCGACCTCCTTCGTCTGCAGGTTCCACACGTACACCAGGTTGTCCTCGGAACCAGACACGATCCACTAGCCACCGGGAGACAGACAAGGAAAGCCCGGTCAGAGCTGGCTCGTGAGCAAGAGGCCCTCTCCCGGCACGTCCGCACCCGTCCCCACCCACCCTGACGCTCACCCTCCCCGCACTGCCCGCGAGGCCGCGCTCGGCCATCAGAGCCCGCTGGAACCGAAATCGTCTCCTCGGATCGCCACTGTCCCGAGGTCACGTCCGGCTCTGCCGAACGCCACCACCCACTCCAGTCACGTCCCAGCTGGGCGAGCGCGTGAACAGGGCCCCGGACTGGGCAGCAGAGCCTCGCAGAGACGACGCTGCAGCCTCGGCCTCCACCAGGGAGAAGAGGACCATCCCGGTCACGGGTACCATGTGCTGTGGGCACAGAGGAACGCCCCAGGCACACAAGCCAACCTGTGATGGGGTCGCCTCTCAGGAGGGACAGCTGGCGGGGCGAGAAGCTCCTTAGCCCGCAGAAAACCTACCTTCCCTCCAGTGACTGAGAAATTGGCAAAAATGCAGTATTTCTCATTCTTGTGGCCGGTGTACGTCTTCAGGCACTGCGAAGGCAAGGGTGGCGGTATGTCCACTGAGTCCCCATTTCCCTTCACTGTGGACGATTCTGGGCGTCTGGAGAGCAGGCATTTCACAGCCGACTAACCTTGGCCCTGAGAGCTCCCTACACACCCTCAGCGCCTCACCACGGGGCGGAAGCTTTCCCAGGCAGCCTAGCGAGCTGCGGACTCCCCAGTCTGACAGACACGCCCCACGCCAACCCAACGGAGGCGGCTCTGGGAGCCCCTCTTGCTTCGGACCCCGGCTCGGCTCTGCCCCAGCACTCACCTTCCCTTTGCTGTAGTCCCAGAGCTTCAGCGTGCTGGAAGGCAGAGAGACGGGTGAGTCACCTGCCTTCCCGAGAGTCCCCGCCGCCACTGTGCACCCGCCCCTGCCCCCGCGCGCTCACGTGTGGAGCAAAGCCAAGGGCCGAGCCCCAGCCCCGGCAAGCGCGGGGGCCCCTCAGTGGGCACGTCCCCTGACGCGTCCGAGAGCGCAGCGCGCACACCCCACACGGCTCTGCTGCTACAGGAGGCTGCCGGGCGCTCTGGGAATCGGCCCGTGGCTCGCTCCCGCTACGAGAGCGAGGGGGGAGCTTCCGGAAATGTCCAGACGAGATCTCATGGCAACAAACCATCCCCCTTCTCCCTAGGCGGGAATTCACTCTTCCCGAGGGTGCCGACGAGTGCCACCCGCGTGGCTCTCTGGCAAGCTTCGGGGCCAGGTGCGGGTCCCCAGAGACCCCCGAAGTGCACACAGGGCAGCCAAAGCCTGAAGGCCTGCCCAGAGGGGGCAAAACCAGCACCAGAGTTCGCTGGGGGAAACCCAGCTGCTCACAGCTGGAGCCGGAGCTGCTCCGAGGCCGCCCCTGCCCCCGCTCGGGCAGACAGGGGCCTGCAGGAGGAGCTGCCCTGGCCACACAGCGGCCACCGAGAAACCTGGACCCCAAATCCTTCTTCAGCCTGGAGACCTGGCCCCCAGCACGGCACCTGCCTTCCGGAAGCCTACATCCACCGGAAGCGCGGCCCACGCACGCACAGGACTTAAACCTCTCTCATATTTACGAGTGTTGACACTGGTAGGAGTGACTCCCCCCCACCCCATGGGAGGTGGTGGCACTTACTTGTCCAAAGTCGCGGCCAGGATGTACTTGCCGTTTGGAGAGAACTTCACAAAGGACACAGGGGGGTTGTCGTCATCTGTGTGGGAAACACAGAGACAGGCTGATGGAGGAGCGCCGGGCCCGTGCCCAGGGGAGGAGAGGAGAGAACAGCCCCCCATCACCACACGGGGCCATCCGAGTGGGGACGCTGCCACCGGTGCCCACACCGCCACCTAGAACGGGTCCCCAAGGAGCCCAGCACACCTCCCTTCGCCCGTCCCTGGCACGGCCGGTTCTCCTCGATGTTTCTCGGGTCCCTGATGGGGGCCTGACCACCCCCTCTGCCACGAGGGCTTAGGAACAAAGAGCCTGTGGCCAGTCAAACTCGGGGTGCCTGGCCTTCTGCCAACATGGGGTCAATTTCCTCACGTGGAACAGTCTGCAAACGCCCCACCGGACTGAGAAAGTATCACCACTGAGGGAAAAAGGACTCGGGTGAAGCAGCTCAGATGTTCTCTGCTGCCTAATTAAAGCAAAAGGTCTGCAAAGTCCATCTAGAAACAACCCTGCTGGCGCGACACCGCACCCCGGCTTCTACACTCCGGTCTGAAAGCTCACCCCGGGCGGCCCAGGAACTCGGTAAGAGCCACCGCCAGGGGCTGCCCAGGGTGAGGCCGGCACCTGCAGCCACGTGACAGCCCTGTGACCCTCACATCGGGAGGAGCGCGTTTCCCCCCAGGTGAGAAGGACAGAACCAGGGCCGTGCACCCTGGTGCCGGAGCAGGGGAGCGGCAGGCCGCATTACCACCTCGAGGGACCTGGCCACCGCACGCCGGGGGCCGCTGCTCCCTCTGACACGTCCCAGACACTGCAAAGGCACATGAGAAGGCGTGAGGCCAGAGGGCCCTCCTCGGGGCACTGGGGCCACAGCAGGAAGGCAGGCCCCCAACTCAGATAGGGGAGGTAGTGCTGGTGTTTCCGACCCAAGCGCCAGGACCAAAGTGTCGCAGGGTCCGCAAAGTTCCAACCCCCTAGACCTGACTTTACGAACAGGCTGGGGACACGGCTTCGCACTGCCCTCCCTCCCATGGACGCTGCGGGGGTCGAGGCCTGGCGCTGGTACCTGCTGGCTGCCAGCCTGGAGTGAGCTAACGAGCCCCTCCAGGCCTCCGCTTCCTGCCCGGCTGCGGGGTGGGGGCCGCGAGGATGTGTTAACATCCACAGCGCCCGACACAGCAAGCAGCGGGCAGATCCGGCGGGGGCTGTGCCGGCCTCTGGGGACAGAGGCCACAGACTCGGCATGAGGTCACGTCAGAAGCGTGGACTCATAAAGCAAAAGCCGCCACAGGCCACCACTGGGCTGAACAGCGTCCCTCCCCAACTTCTCATGTTGGGGCCCTAACACCAGCAGCTCAGCTCCTTATGGACACAGGGCCTTGCAAGGGGCTGACTCGGTTAAAATGCAGCTGCTACAGGGACCCTGCTCCAGTCTGAGCAGCGTCTCTACAAGAGAAAAAACGACGCCAGGGGTGCGCGCACACGAGACAACCACGGGAAGACACGGCGGCAAAGTCGAGGAGAGGCCGCAGGAGAAACCAGGCCTGCCCACGCCTGGGTCTCGGAAGCCAGCGTCCAGGATGCGGGGATAAACCCTGGGTAAGTCGCCCAAGCTGGGGTGCTTTGCTGTGGCGGCCCCAGGTGGCCCCAGCCAATGTATAAAGCCACATGTGTCCCCGAGGCCCAGGGGAAGGCTGCGGAGCCTCAGAGGCGCCACCTCCTGGACAGGGCGTAGGCCAGCCGCTGCCCCAGCCCACCACCCGGAGCTCTACCAGCTACCCTGTTTCACACCTGACCTGAAACTGCAGGGACCCTCCAGGCGGATTCTCAAAACCGAGGGCTGACTCCCCATCGCTTTCAGGGGCTTGGGGCCCTCCACAGGCTCAGCACCCACCCTCTGGCCACACAAACACCTGTCTTTCCATGACCGACCCCCGTCTGCAGAGACCCCAGTGTCCGTGACACCCCAGCAGATGGGCTGCATTTCAGGGCTGGGGCTCCATCACGTGTGCTCAAGGAATGATGCAAGGAGAGTCCCCACCAAGGGTCTGCCAAGTGCAGGTAGAGGGTCTGAGGGGCTCACGGGGCTGAGGACACGGCCAGGCAGTCCCGAGTAAGGGCTGACCGCAGACAGCGCGGGGGCCCCGCCTGGGGAGGGCACAGGACGGTGCCAGAGGTCAGCAGGGAGGAGCTGCCGGGAGCTGGAACCACTCGGTACAGGAGGGAGCAGATCCAAGATGAAGAGATGGAGCTTCCCAGAAACCACACGTGACAGAGGAGGGGAACAGTGACCGCCGCTGGGAGGGACACCCCGCCAGAGAGCCCACGCCGGTGGCACTCACCGATCAGCGTCTTCAAGCACTGGCCCGAGGCGGTGTCCCAGATCCGACTGCAACGCAAAAACAGCAGCAAGTTTTTACAAAGCAAGTCGGGAGCCACTCGAGGCAGGCGGGCTCCCAGCGAACACGGACGTGGAGACGAAAGCTCCATGGGGCGAGTCTCAGCTCCCAACTGCTCCGCGCCAACGCTCCTTCAGCAGCGGCCCTCACGCCCCGCAGGGGCCTGGCCACCGTGATGGGAACAGAGGACAGGGAGGCGCTGGAGCCCTGCCTGTTTTCTGGCACAAACATCCCAGTCTGGGACCTTGCTTCCACAGAACCCAGTACCGTACGATTTTCTGGACGTCCCTCTAGTTCAGAAGCAAGAGAACATATTCAAGGAGCCGCTGCCTAGGACAGACGTGCCGGTTCCGGCGTGTCTGTGACCTCCGTCCACGCGGACACGGCTTCAGCAGCAGATGCGCGTTAGCGCCTGGCCGTCCGCGCCAGAGGCCCAGCAGCGGGGACACCGGCCCACAGGGTGACCCTGCACCTTCCTAACGTTCTCTCCCACCTTCCTACCCCTGCCAGGGGACGTCCTGGCCCGGGATCCCGCATCACTGGCCACGGGGGACGCTTCCGCGCTGCTGACTCCCTGACCGCCAGGGGCCTGGGGGTGGGCGCAGGGTTGGCCAGTCTGCTCCCGCGCCTGGCTCCGCTCTGCCTGTCCCACCACGCCCCTCTTCTGGGAGGGACCCCGGCACCGGGCACTGTGTCGTGTCCTGCAGCAGGCACATGTCAGGGCTGGGTGCTGTGACCAAGCCTCGGAGCTGCTGCCCAGGCCACAGCAACCCCCCAGCCTCCAGTCCTCCTCGCCCTCCAGGCCCGCAGCCTGCACCCTCTCACTGCAGAAAGGCCGTGGGGGGCCCCTCTGTGGAACTGCCCCGTCTTCCAGACGGGGGGCGGGTCCCCACCAAGGATGTATACACAAGCGGTCCCCACGCCCCAGCTCGCTGCTTCCTGTCCTCCAGTCACACTTTGTCACTTTCTCCACGTGCTTGTCCCCTTCCCCGTTAGACACATCCTGAGTTTCCGCACCTCCCTGCCGCTGCCCTGCTCACCTGCTAACCGCTAATGCCCAGGGCCAAGGAATGCCGTCCGTCTCCGCACCTCCCCCTCCCCGCTCAGTCTCGCTTTGTAACCAGCAGGACCCAGCGGTTCAGAGCTGGGGCACCAGAGCCGCGTGTGGCACAGATCCTGGCTGCCACCCACCCCCCCGCGCTGGGAGGACAACCAGCGAGTAGCGAGTGTTCAGCTGCCTCTGCTCCCCTCCTGCCGAGTGGGGACAGCGCTGCTGGGAGGCTGAAGTCGGTGCTGGTCAACCATTGTGTCCACGGCTCCTAACTCGAAATGCGGACCCTCTGGAAGAGAGAACGCTTGACCCTGTTAACCAGGAGCTCCCAACACCATGAAATGAGGGGCAGAGGGGCCTGGTGTGCTCCAGTTAAATCGGACACAGGTTCAGTGCGTTACGGCGAGGTGACCAGTCTGTCCCACCGGCGTCCTCCACTCCATCTCCATCAGGGGCGGCTGCCGAGTCCTCCCAAGTGCCTGTCTGGGCTCTGCCAGTGACACATCACGGAGATTTGCCTGCTGACACCATTCACCAGATGACAGACTTCTGGATGTCGATCACACTGTGACAACGCTTTCACTGTCTGAGAAACCCGGGTCGCTGCTGGGCTCAGCCTGCGGACGGCTCCTCTGGAATTCCGACACCGATATTCCCCAGCGAAGCCTGGATCTCTTTCCGGACTCACGGCAGAGCTTGGGGCGGACGGTCACGCCAGCCCCACCGGGTGCGCCGGTCGGGGCCCCTCCTTGTTCTGTGGCCACCAGAACAGCTTCCCAGCGTCAGGCGTCCGGAATCCAGCCCAGCTCCAGCGGGAGTTCACGCCCGACCGCACGCAGACCTTCCGCGGCTGACTCAGCGAACGGGAGCTCCCCAGACGTGCCCCGCTCCCCACCTGCCCTCCCCGCTGCCTCCACCCTCTCATCCTCCCTGCTTCCTTAGCGGAGCTCCTGGGCCGGCCTCAGGAAGGACACAGCTTTCTCACGTGTCTCTCGCTTCTCCCTCTTCTCTAGGTCTGCAGAGCCCGTCCACGGACAACCCCCAGATCATTCCAGGCTCGCCGGACACAGCACAGGCTGCAAACGCAGCCAACACCCGGCCGTGGGGTCGCTCGGGTCTGCCAGGCCCCGGACACGCTCCCGTCAACGTCTAGGAGCGACACCTGCTGCCTCGTGGTCCTCACGGCCCCAGGCCCGCGTGCGCCCTGGGGGGCTGGAGCGCACAGGCCTCTCCCGCCGGCTGTGTGCGACTCGCTCTGCGTCTCTCCCCTTGGGGGATGCTCCGTCCAGAAGCCCCAGTGACACGCACCCGACTGCACTCCGCCCACCGACGCCGCTTGCCCCCCGTCGGTTTCAAACCTTCGCCATCCCTCTGCTCTGCTTCTTGAGAACAAGAGGCAGAAGGTTTCTGAGGCAACGTGACGGCCTGTGGCGAGGGCGTCCAGCTGCCACCGTGACACCCGGTGCAGCGCGCGTCCCCCCTTCCGCGGCGTTTTTACTGGATGTTTTGTTCCCCGTTTCCTCTTTCTCGTTTCCTGTTTGCTAAATATAGACAAATTCTAGCCGCGCTTTCGCTCTCCCTTGTCATCGGGAAGCTCTTCTCGGGCATCATGCAGCCGCTGGCCACTGCCCACCGGCCTCCTCCCAGGGAGCACACAGGTCAGGCTGAAGGCCCTTCCAGGCCCAGCCTCCTCGCGTGGCCCCGGCCCGGTGTCTGCCGACTTTGGCTGACGTTGACTTCGACACTTTCGCTCGTGCCTCTGACAGAGCCCTCAGCGCTCAGCTGACGAGCCCCGAGCTGCACCAGCGGTCCTCACTCAGGCCACACCGGACGTTCCACGGGGAACCGCGTCCCCCTGTGGTGGCATTTCCACGCCGCATCCTCCGTGGGACACGAGGCTGCTCCGGAGCCCGCACCCCCCCTGCGCCCACAAGGAGTGGACTCTGGAGCCAGAGCGCCCCCGGCCTCCCTGTGCCAGCAGCCCCCCTCCGGCCCCGCGTCCGTCCACCTGCCGCAGCCCACGACAGCAGACCCCTGCCCCGTTTTCGTGGCTGTCCCCAGAGGCCAGAACACCACCCTTCAACAAACGCGCGCTGAGAAAGGGACGTGAACTCCCCCACTTACCAGAGCCCGTCGTAGCTACTTGACACTATCAAGGATCCATCCCGATTAAAATGAACCTAGGAACGGAGTGGAGGGAAGAAGACACTTACTTCCAAGCGGCCAACGCAGACTGCGTCCTGAGTGGCCGTCCCACGCACGGGAGTCCCCGACAGACACGCCCCGCTCGCCAGCACTGGACGCGACGGGGCCTACGGCTTCCTGCCGATGCTGGCGGACACTCGAGCGACGCTGTCGGAGTGACTTTTACTGGGTGCCTCAAGCAACAGGCCCTTTGTCTCACGACGGACGACGGAATTTACAAGGAAAACCAAGTCCCAACACGTCTCGAGAAGCAGAATCACGTACAACAAAACACGCTCTTGAAATGAAACAAACGCACCCAAGGGACCGCGCCCGGGGGAGAAGAGGCCGGCCGGGAGAGCCGGGGCGGGCGGGCGTGCGCTGGCTGGTGGCGCGGAGCTGTCTGACCACGGCGCCCTGGCCGAAACCATCTCGCCCGACCTCACATTAAATAAAGGAAAACCAGGAGAGAACAACTCACTTGTCGGGTAACCACCGGAAGAAGGCTCCCGGGCGCGACCAGCCCCCGCGCCCCGCACCCTCGGTCACCTCAATGCCCAGCCCCCTCGGCCCCCATCGCCGCACACACCTCCGCAGCCGACAAGCCCCGGTCTCACAACTAAACCGTCTCTGCGTTTCTTCCCTGCTTTCCCAGGGAACCCCAATGGGAGCGAAGGAGCCGCGATGCCAGCTGAGTCCTCCGCCCACTTCCACCACTTCTACTCTGGGTCCTGGGCACACGTCATCCAGGACGAGCCTTTCTGTAACAACCAGCACCTTGCAGACACCACCTCGCTCCCTGCCACCCGCGGCACATTTCCCACGTGAGACCGAGTGGCACAGGGGGTGGGGGTGGGGCCGTGGCCACCTGCTGGTCCGCCCCAGCGTCACTGCCCAGCTGGCCCTGTCTCTCCTCGGGGCTCGGGGCTGCCCGTGTGTCCAAACCCCACCCGACTCACGAGATGCCAGCAGCACGTGGCCATGATGGCCAAGCTGTCTCCAGACACTGCTGGACGTCCCCAGGGGCCAAGCCACATGCCCAGGAGCACCTGAGAGCTCGCTGCACTGAGCGCCGGGCCCCAGAGTCGCACCACAGCCGCACTCTCGGTGGGCGCAGGTGACACAGGCCGGGAGACACAGAGAAGCCGGGGTCTAAACTCCCGGGGCGCCATCCGCCACAAGGACGATTCTCTAGCAGGTACGGCACAAAGGTAACGGGTGGGATGAACTTGGCTTTATTTAACGCAAAGCCTCTACGGTACCACCCGCCACGCGGCCGGTGTTGAAGTCACCCACGAGCCACGCCTGACTCCTTTCCATCTCACGGACCCGTCAAAGGTGCTGAGCCCACAGAGCACCCCGCGCACCCAGCACGTCTCCATCCGGGCTCCTGGCACTTCACAGGCTGTGCCACCGGCTGTCCGGCTGGCGGCCTCTGGGCCGGACCGCTGGGCCCCACATGCCATCCAGGACACACTCGAGAGGCTCTCTTGCTGTCCGTCCCTCCCTACTGGGGGTCTTGGCAGGACGGGCTCACAGGCCAGCTACCTACCCATGACCACCCGCCTGTCAGCCCCTCGAAGTAACCGTCAAACTCGCCGCCATCTCTCCGACCACGTCCGTCCCTTTCTTCAGATTTGCAAAACCCTCTATCACGGCCCACTGCACCGGACTCTAGCGAGTTGACACGGGTCCCCAGAAGCTACCAAGGCAACCTTGTGCTCTGCCTTGTTCCCAGCCGCATCGGGACCTCCCCACCGACGCACGCGGCTTGGCTGTTCCCTCCCACCGACAGGTGCACACGGCAACAGGGCCTCCCGGCCCATCCCCACGCTCAGAACGGAAGCACTACGAAGACACGACAAAGGCAAGAAGTCAGACCCTAACGGGGCTGCCTGGTAGGTACCCGGACGACAGTCGCTCGGGGCGCTCTGCGGGGCAGAACCCCGGGCAGGAGGGAGCGCCCGCGACAGCAGCGAAGCAGGAAACAGGGTGAGTACAAGGAAAAGCCACAGGCCACGCAGCTGTGGTGAGGACCACAGGACGAGACAAGCGGACAGGAGTCCGGACAGGAGCGGACAGGGCCAGACCCGGGGGGGGGGGGGGGGGACGGGGCAGCCAGCAGAGTCCAAGCCGGGGGCCTTCCAGCTCCCAGACTGATCTGCTGGAGAGCCAGGCCGTGCCCCAGGAGCCCGTGGACAGACACCACGGGTGCCCGAAAAACCGTCCCACAGGGACACACAGCAGCGTGGAGCGTCCCCACCACTCAGAGGACAGACAGCGGGAGACACATCAAAACCAGGGCTCCTCGGAGGGGGACCGGCTACCAGCAGTGGGCTGAGCGCTGCAGGTGCGGGACTCTGACTCTCTCCTCGCTTCATCCGTGTGCCTTTCTTAAAAGGACGTTTCGCTTCCGTAGGAGACAAACACTTGACAAACCCTGCCACTGCTCAGCCCAAGAGTCCGGCCCGCAGCGCTCCCCTACCCCCAACTCGCACAGCAGCGCCCCCCGGCCTTCCTCCGGCTCGCTTCCCGGGGCCGGCCCACGCCGCTGCCCCGCTCTCCTTGGACTGGGAGTGCCCAGCGGAGGGCAGAGCGCCGGGCGGACCAGGCCCGTCCCCACAGCGCACCGCCTTCCTCGGGGCCCTAAGTGCTGGCGGGGATTCTGGGCAGCGAGGCCCCGGAGGCCGCCGCAGCCAGCGTGCGGTACGTGCCCTCGACACATCCGGGCTCTGCAAACGCCCTCGGCCGGGCAGAGAGCCCTTCCAAGGCCGAAAAGCCTTAGAACCCCGCGCCTACACGACGGCGGAGAGTGAAGAGGACCGTCTGCTCGGTCAGAGTGGCGCGCGGTCTACGTGACTGCGTCCCCTTTCCGAAAAAAGGCAAACTTGGCTAAGAAACAAGTCTAGGCTCTCTGCTGACAGAGAGGTGTGTCCGGGCCACTCTCAAGCGGTGAGGTTTGCGATCCATCGGGCGCTGTCAGCCCGCACGCTCGTCACACACACGGCCGGCGCGTGGCCGAGGCAAGACGCGGGGCGCACACAGCGCACTCGTGGGCTCCGCCCTCCCCGGGCTCCCCGCCTCAGCTAGGTCATCCCGACCTCCTCCACCACCACCCCAGGATCAAAGCCCGCGCCACTCCAGACACGTCTCTGGGGCCGCACTGCCCAGTGCCTGGCCCTCGTCCAAGCCCGGCCGTCCTACCTGGGCCGTAGGACTCGGCTCCAGGACACCACAACGGGCCCTCACCCACCTGTGCTTTCACGGGTCCAGGACAGGGAGGCCTCTCTCAGGGTCCCCCGTGCCCCCTCCCCGGCCACCACACGGTCCTGCACGCGGAATGCAGAGCCCGGTGGGACTTACCGCGGAGACGGGGTCTGAGTGCGCAGGCAAAGTCTTGAGGCACTTCCCTGTTTTCACGTCCCAGATCCTCACACTTTCATCAAACTGAAGACAAAGGAAAAGGTTAAGGCCCTTCTATGGCGGGGGGGGGGGGGTGCCTGGTCCTCTGGAACCCAAGACCTGCCACCACTGCCCCCCTCGCTCCCCAGCACGGCAGGGAAGACGCAAGGCCCAACTCCCGGCCCGGCTCCCCAGCACCACCGCCCACACCCCGAGGCATCACACTTACGGAGCCCGAGACGATGAGGTTGGACTGGGGGTTGAAGTTACAGCAAAAGACATAGTTACTGTGGCCCTTCAGGGTTTTCAGACACTTGCCCTAAATCCAAGTATCGTCAGACTAAGTTACTCCCAGTGCTTATTTCAACACCGAGCCCACAGGGGCCCGAAGGCACACCTCCCCCCGAGCGGGGCTGCCCGTGACCAGCTGGTCCCCGGACTGCCCTTGGACTCCCACGCCGTGCCCCTCATCCACACACGGGCTCGGCCAGGAGCGGCACCCGGAGAGGCTTACCGAGCTCACGTCCCAGATCTTTAGGGTTTTATCATCCGAGGCGGAAACAAGGAGGTTGGAATCTGACGACCAGGCCACATCCGATATGCCCTGGGGAGTGAAAACACAGAGCTATCACCTGGACGGGACAGCGAAGGGCAGATCGTCTGTCGTATGGCTCCACCATGCAGACCCTCAAGCCACCCCGGACCACACAGACGGACACTACGCGGTCCCCCAAGGAGAAGTGTGCTCTCTCGCAGTCTGGCAGAAACTTGTCTGGGAAGGTCAAAAGCATTTGCTTAAAAAACAAGAAGCAAACAACTATCAAATAACTGGGGGCTGGGGGCGGGCATGGGGAGGTCAGAGCTCCACCTGGTGAGCCCGGGGATGGGCCCCACCCCCCCGCCCGGGGGACCTACAGCGGCCCGTGCTCAGCCTCAGCATGCAGGGCTCATACCTACCAGCTTGTGACCAGATATGGTTTTCTCAAATTTTCCATCATACGCTCCCCAAATTTTAATGAGTTTATCAGCAGCTGAAAGAAAGGAAACAAAGGAACTGGGGTGTTTCAGTCATCCTGAGTGCAAAATCGGGGCTTCCCATAAGAGCCCTGGGAACGGTGCAAATCCCTCAGGAACCCCCGTGAACAGGCTCCACGCACAGGGCCCGCCAGCGCTCGGGCACAGGCCGTCCACCCCTTCCCCTCGCCCCAGGTCCGTCAGTTCAGAGCAGCAAAGGGCCCCAGTTAGGGTGAGGGGCACACGGCTGGCTGCAATGCCCCCGTGGCAGTGTTAGGAAGCAAGTCCTCCCTCTGTCCCCGGCTTCCAGGGGCAGCTCCGACGGCCTCTGACAGGAGCGCACACCCTGGTGATACGTACACGAACTTGCCAGCCACTCCCCGTTCGGGCTGAATTTCACGGAGGACACGGCTTTCGTGTGGCCGGCCAGGGTGAACTTGAGAGCATAGTTGGGTTTCACGGGGGTCGGCTGTCGAAGAGACAGTGGCAGTCATGGAGCCGTAACCACGGTGCTGGCTTCCAGATCAGACCCACCTCCTGAGCCCCAAATCCATAGTCCAGCGCCTGCTACGCTCTCTGAAGTCGCCTTTCAGACTAGACGGGTTTACATCGGGGCTCTCCCCCCTCCACAGCCCTGCTTCTCCTGCAGGCCCCTCCTCAGTGCCCCTGCACCACGAGGGGCTCAGCATGGAGGCCCCTCAAGGCCTCACCACCCCCAACACGACTGGAAGCCCCATCCGCGGCACCACGTGCAGCAAGTACACCCTGAAGGTCACAGCCTCGCTCAGAGGCCCGTGTGTGCGGCCTGGTGTCCACCAAGGGGGTTGGCAAACCTGCCTGGGCACCAGACCTGTGGGGCCAGGGAGGGGGCTTCACGGGAGGCTCTCTGGGTCCCGCAGAGGATCTTACGATCAGGACCAGGGACCTATGTTGGAGATAAAGCCCCCTCCGCAGGGGACAGGCCTGGGCCTCGGCACAGTGAACAGGCACCGGTTAGGCGTGCGGTCGATGACTGAAAACTCAGAGTCTGAGAAGAAGCCTCTCTGGGGAGTGGGCGGCCTGGGCACCCCCCGCGGTTCCCCCACAGCCCTCAGGGACGTGCCTTGCTCTGCGTGGCCGAGGAGGAAGGGGTGGGCTGTGCTCTGGCGGCCTCCGTCTCTGGCTTCTTCTCCTCCGTTGCCATGGCCGTAAAGCCCACCGGGCAGGGGGACGGGCGGGAGACGCGGGAAGCGGAGTTCACAGCTCCACACGAAGGCCCCCGAGCGCAAAGAGCTAATCGAAACCTACAGTGGGGGGCTGCGGCCAATAAACAAACCAAATTTTACAAGTTACTTCCCAGAAAAAAGGATGAAAAACCTCTGCCCACCTTGCCGGGCCCTGCAGCAGACACGCCGCTGCAGACGAGGAGCCCACTCCCTCTGTGGGCCCAACTCGCCCTAACCCTCTGCACAGGCTGAGAAGCAGGCCCAGGCCCCTCTTGCCAACGGAAGCCCAGGCCCCACCTTCAACGAGCTCCTACTGTTATCCTCCGCAGGGAAACGCAGCGCCTTCTAGGCAAACAAAACACAATTTTCTTCAAAGAGCCCGTGAAATGTCAAAAAAAAAAAAAAAAAAAAAGCCAAACCAACCCAAACGGCAGGAGCTCCGGGGTGTAGAGATTTGGGAACTCGTCCAACCCTCCCAAGTGATGGCACGGTGCTTAGCCGCCACGTTTGAAAACAGACAAGGACAGACCCCCCAGTGGTCCGGCCCCCCGGGGGCCTTCCCTGCCGCCAGGTGCAGACACGAGGCGGCCTCCAGAGCCCCAGCAGCTCAAACGGCGCCCTGTCCCCCGCGAGCCGATGGCAGGACACACAAGACACGGCCGGGAAGCGAGAACTGGGGCCAGCGTGCCTGCTGCTGAGGCCCGAAGCCCACGGATGGGAGGGCGGCAGCAACCTCGCGCCGCAGGAGGGGGACCGTGGCTCCATTAGGTTTAGGCGTGACAATGGGAGCTGCTCGCGGGAGCCCAGGATTCCAGAACCTGGATGCGCCTCCTAGAAGCACCCCTGGTGACTCTGAAACGGGGGCCGCAGGGCGTCCTCGCAGACATCACCGGCCGTCCAGTTCCTATCCGACTCCCGGCAGCGCACACCGCCGTTAAGCTAACGAGTTTACGGTGTGAGCTCTAGCTCGGCGCTCCACACTGAACGCTTGAGCAACTCCCGGTCACACCAAGGCAAAATGGAAGCCATCGAAAAAGAACACATCTCGAAGTCTCTATCCAAGAGGAGGGCAGAGAAATGACAACACAACCCAGCCGTGCAGAGCACAACAGATGTGGCCCCGGCCGGCCGCCTGCAGCAAGGACTCCTACCCCAGGGTGGACGGTGCTGCATCCAAAGCCCCAGGTACTAGAGCGGGGGAGGGGCAGGTCGTATAATCGCACCCAGGGACGGACCTGCCGCCACAAAGCTGGTGCCCAGCAAGTGCTAGCTGCTTGGTGATTCCGTCTAGTGCAACTGGCCACGCCGGTTAACCCACGTGCTGCCTTCCCCATGGTGGGACGGACAAATGGGCAGCTCAAGAGGACAGCCGGGAAGGATTTCACAAAACCCCGCATCTGAAGAAGGTACCCAGGAGCTGAGGGAGGTGTGGGGGAGAAACGGGAACAGAAGAGGCTTCCTCCGGGTAAACAGGGCAGACCTGCTCCTTTTAACATAAAAACGGAGACCCACCGGGAGATGGGCTGTGACTCCCTGCCCTCAGGTGAGGACCCGGGAACACAGCAGACAATCTCCCAGAGAAGGGGTTGAAGCCCCCTCCCAGCTCAAACCCAATCTGCCGGTGCCTTGGGCTAGCAAAACATGAACATGCAAAAAATCAGGGGAACTGCAAAGAAGACAATTTCTTGACTCCACGCTCCCCCCCACCGTTTCCACTTAAGAGGGGAAAAAGCTTTGCATCCTCCATCAACACTCTCGGGAAGCAGCCGGGCAGCAGGTCACCGGCTCCGCAGGGAGTCCACGACGGGAAAGGCAGCTGTGCTGCGGGAACACGTGTGTGGCCTCCAGACCACATGCCACCTGCCCCCGTCTACACTCATGGGCCCTTCACCCCGTGAGCCTGACCACCCACCACCCAGCCTCCCAAACCTGACCGCTCGGGGCCCTGCTTCTCAGATGCAGACTCCTGGCCTGCCGCCAGAGACTGGGCCCCCGGGGTGAGGTCACCTGACACGCAGGTGGCCAGACCAAGAGTGGGGGGGATGCCGCCAGCCCCACCTGTTCTGCCACCAGCTTCTATCCGACCTTACCTATCTGCCTCCTGGGGGGGCGGGCCAACCTCAGAGGCAGCGTCTGGCGCAGCACCTGCCAGGGTGTCTGAAAGGCCTGGACGACGGACCTGGGAGGCGAAACCGGAATGAGAAGGCTGCAGGGAGCGACTCTGCCATCACCCAAAATGGCTCTGGCACACAGACTGGAGGTGGTGCGGGCGCGAGGGCAGGAGCCCCGGCTCTCGCTGCGTGAGGGCGCACCGCACCTGGGGAGCCCGCTTCTCGGGGGAGACACGGGGCCTGGCGGGCTGGGCTGAAGGCGGGCAGCAGGTCGGGGTAGGGGGCGTTTCTGCAGGAGGAGAGCGGACGGGTCGGCGCGCCAGGCCAGCGCCAGTCGGGGGGTCTGGGGTCTGTCTTTGGAGCAGCAGCGGAGAGCAAGGGGGAGATGCGCGCGGGCTGCTGAGGGAAGGCACAGTCCCCGGGCTGAGGGCTTGTCACCTGGCCGCTGGGGGAGGGGCAGCTGGGGAGTGGCCGCACCGGTGAGCGCCGGCGGGAGTCCCGGAGACCCGCAGGACGGTCGTGGGGGGATGTTTGGGGAGGGGGCCCGGGACTCGAGTACGGGGACGGGGCCGCGGCCGGGCGCGGACGAGGGGCGCAGAGCGGGCACCCGGAAGACAGGCGGTGGGGGCGCGGGGCGCCTGCACCGGGAGGGCCCTGGCGGGGCTGGGCCGGGACCTGGGCCTAGCCCGCCGGAACACGTGTGGCGACGGGGCGGCCCGGGGGGGCAGCCGGCGTCGGCCCCCGCCCGCCACCCGGGTGCAGTCCCCGGGCTGGCGGCCCCGCTTACCTGCCGGCCGCGGCGGCGGGGCGGGCGCTCGGGGCGTCGCGTCGCCGCCGCCTGGGCGGGAGCCGGGCCGAGCTGGACGAGGCGGCGCGGGGGGGCTCCGGCAGTGCGCGTGCGCGTGCGCGAGAGGCGGGGCGGCGGCGGGGCGGGGCGAGCGCACAAAGCCTGCCTCTCGGAGGGGCACTACGGGGAGCGGCGAGGGGCAGAATGCCTCGGGCGGGCCCAACGCCTTAAAGGGACGGCTTGCGGAGCGCGCTTTTCTCTGCAAAGCGGTAACCTCTGCGTCGGCGGGCGTCGGTCCGTCTCGCGCACTTTCTAAAAACGGAAGTATGTGACACCTCGGGGAAAGTGCCAGTGCGCCCCTCGAAAGCTCCCCGCCCGAGGTCGGCCTGCAGCGGCGCCCCAGGAAGCAGCCGGGCTCGCCCCTGGGAGTCGACGGGCGGCAGGTCCCTGGCGCTCCTTGTGGGACCCTCGCTCCGGGGCCGCCACTCCCCTTCCCCGGGCACACGGAGCTGCCGGCGGCAGTCCGCGCGGGCTCGCCCCCCCACGCAGGCCTGGCAGGTCGGCCGGCAGGGACCCAGGGCGCTCCCCTCCCGGAAGCGGGGACCCTGAGCCACAGGCTTGTGCGGCCCCCCCGCAGGGCCGACTGCCCCCCCGCAGGGCCGACTGC